CACCTCTCGCCAGACCAAACTCACACTTTACAGGACATTGATTCTACCCGTGCTATTATATGGATCAGAAGCATGGGTACTTGCGCAAGCAGATGAGGCAGCGCTTGGGGTGTTTGAGAGAAAAATTCTCCGAAAGATCTACGGGCCGATCTGCGTCGACGGTGAATATCGGCGTCGAATGACCCACGAGCTCTACAATTTATACGCGGACATCGACATAGTCAGTCGTATTGAGCTGCAGCGACTACGGTGGCTAGGCCATGTTGTGCGGATGAATGAAGATGCCCCAGCTCAAAAGGCATATAAAAATGAGCCTACTGATGGTTCCCGTAGAAGGGGAAGGCCACGAATTAGATGGAAAGACCAAGTAGAAAACAACATCTTGGAACGTGGTCTTCCAAATTGGTGGACTTGCGCACAAGACCGACGCGCTTGGAAATCTTTTTTAAGCTCGGCTTATGGAACAACCGTTCTGTAACAAGCCAGCTAAGTAAGTAAGTGAAGGGAGTCTCTATTATAGACGAGCTGAAGGGAGTCTCCATTATAGACGAACTGAAGGGAGTCTCTATTATAGACGAGCTGAAGGGAGTCTCTATTATAGACGAGCTGAAGGGAGTCTCTATTATAGACGAGCTGAAGAGAGTCTTAATAGACTGGCAGAAGGGAGTCTTTAGAGACGAACTGAGGGGAGTCTCTATAGACGGACTGAGTGAAGTCTTTATAGACGTACTGAGGGCAGTTTTTATAAATGAACTGAAGGGAGTATTTATAGACCAGCTAAAGGGATTTTATGTAGACCAACTGAAGGGAGTATCTATAGACGACCTGAAGGGAGTCTTTATAGTCGTCCTGAAGACGATCTGAGGGTGGCGTAGGGGATGATAGATACCAAGCAACGGCTCTGATTGCCTTTAACTTGGCGAAGTCCAGGCTTATCTTGGTCCCTCTTTCATCTCAATTGTGGACACTGGAAAATGTCATACGAGACGCAAAGGTGAACAGAAATGGCACTCTGTACACCAAACAACACATGTTACTCGCTTACGCTGGTGACATCGATATAATGGGTCGAACATTGCGAGCGGTAACACCCACCTTTGAACAAATTGAAAAGGAGTCTGCCAAAGTGGGTCTGGCAGTAAATGGCGGGAAGACCAAACTGATGGTATCAACGCGCAAGACGTCCAGTAGACTCGGACCAACTGTGGAACTTGAGAACTACAGCTTCGAGGTAGTTAAAGACTTTATATACCTTGGTACCGCCATAAATAAAACGAATGACATCACTTTTAAAATTCGGAGAAGGATTGTGATGGTCAACAGATGCTACTATGGTCTAAGTAAGCAGTTTAGAAACAAGGCCACCTCCCGCCAGACCAAACTCACACTTTACAAGACGCTGATACTACCCGTGATATTATATGGATCAGAAGCATGGGTACTTGCGCAAGCAGATGAGGCAGCTCTTGGGGTATTTGAGAGAAAAATTATCCGAAAAATCTACGGGCCGATCTGCGTCGACGGTGAATATCGGCTTTACGATCTGAAGGGACGATCTGAAGGGAGTCTCTGTAGGCGCGCTGAAGGGAGTCTCTATAGACGAACTTGGGGGAACCTTTATAGAGGAACTGAGGGGAGACTTTGTAGACAAGCTGATAGAAATCTTGAATTGACAGACAATCTGATATTTCTCTGTAAGGTGTGTTTCGCCAATTGTACGCTGGTCCCAAAGAATATTTAGGTCTCCTACATTTTTATGTTGTCAAAGTTTTCCACCACAAACAAATTAAAAGATTTCCCTTCTAAATTGTCTATGAACACTTTTGCTTTCCCAAAAACACTCTAAAGCCATAAACAACCCAAATTTTCCGGCACGGTATGTGTTTCTGTATGGAGGTGGTCTTCTAGCTTATTTTTTGTAATTTTCCAAATTTGTGATGTATGTTTGTCTGTTTGTTTCCGTACCGTGTCTCCCATAATGCATGACCATTATAATGACGATGATGTTGATGATGATATGCTTGATTTAAGGAAACATGTGTTACCGTCTACGACTGATTCGCAAATGCTGTGCCGTGTGACATCGTCTTGACGCGTCGTATGTCCTCCTATGTTCGGCGGCAGTGTTGTTGCTGTGAATGTCCAACGCGGTACGACAGTGAACTGCTAGCGCAAAAAATGACAAATTAATGTTGTCTGTCTTCATAAGTCATGGGTGAAAACATTTTAAGTGTAGGAAGTTGACTTTATTGGAATTGTTTTAGTCTGCCTGTGCTGCCATTCATGGAGGTACTACAACAAATGCCTATATGTAGGTATGACGGCGGTGTGGTGAACACAATGTCTTTAAGTGCCAACAACCAACAAAATCGCATGTGTTGGGGAATTATGAAATTGAGTCTCATTATGTGTCACATGACAGTCGCACAAGTGTTTCAAATATTGCAAAATACATACATACGAACATGTGTACGAATATGTATGAAAGTAGAAATGTGGTACCTACTTATCGTGTGATTATTTGATTAATGTACTTATGTTGGCACAAATAGTTATTTCAGCAAAACAGACAAACTTTGAAATGACAATAACAAGGAAAAGAAATATGATGCTGAGTTATAAGAGACATTCTTTTTTTAGAGTTCAGTGACCAGTGCAAATATTTGTATATTATAAAAATGATAATATATATATATATATATATATGCATATATGTATGTATGTTTCTTCAACATAATGGATTTGATAAAATATGTGCAGGTGGAAATTTAGTTTTTATTTAAAACAAATAAAAACGTAGTTTAGTTCGGCCTGGCCGAACTTTTATATCTTCCAACATGGGATGAACTTTCAAAATATCTACAAATAATTTTTATTTTTCATGGATTCTGCGACCAATATTTCAAGATTTTTCAAATAAAATGACAAATAAAAGAGGGTAAAAACCCACGTATCAGCACAGATCAGCAGTTAAAGTCGGAAAGAACCTGTCGGAGCCCTTTAATATCGAACGAGGATTCAGACAAGGTGACAGTTTGATGTGTTGTCTTCTTAACATCCAGAATGTTCACGGCCAGAAGACCAAGCTGACGGTATCAACCCGCAAGACGTCGGGATACTCGGACCAACTGTGGAACTTGAGAGGTAGTCAAAGATTTTATATACATTGGTACAGCCATAAATAAAACTAATGACATCAGTTTTGAAATTCGGATAAGGATAGTGTTGGCCAACAGATGCAACTATGGTCTGGTAAGACGCTGATACTACCCGTGCTGTTATTGGATCAGAGGCATACGCAAGCAGATGAGGCAGCTCTTGGAGTGTTTGTGAGAAAAATTCTCCGAATGATCTATGGGCCGATCAGCTTTGACGGTGAATATCGCCGTCCAATGAACCATGAGTTGTACCACATATTTTCGGACATCGGCATTGTCAGACGTATCGAGCAACATCGACTACGTTAGCTCGGTCATCTTGTGAGTATGAATGAATATGCACCAGCCCAAAAGGCATATAAAAGCGAACCAGTTAAAAAATGTAAGTTTTCGAACTAAAGAGACTGTAATTTGGAACAACTTGCTATCACATAACACAGACACCATATAAATAACTTAAGGAAATTTGAATACGTCCCGTGGAATATATAAAAATCTGGCCGAAATTAATCACATTTTTACACGACACATGAGGTTAGTTTTGACAATTCGTAATACGTGTACAAAATAGTACTAAGCTTGGTATAATTTAGATTAGATCGAGCTCAAATTATAAATTAAATTACTGTTGGGTTGTAGTATTGAAAAATAAAGTTGGTTTGGAAATGCATTCGTGTAAATACGAAAAGTACGAAATGGTACTAACATTGGTACTATTTCGATTTGGTTGAATGAATAGAGATGGAATATTGAAATTTAGAATTATAATTAATATTGGAATATAGCATTCATGTCGTTTTGGGAATATGAGCACGAATACGGTACAGTCTGGTGAATAGATAGAGCTGAAATATAACAAGTGAAAAAGCGTTAACTTCGGCCGGGCCGAACTTTGGATACCCTCCACCATAGATATACTGACAGGTACTAGAAATTAAAATATAGGGAACATACCAAAAAGTGGACCTATACCGACATTTCAAAAAGGGATTATGTAAACAAAAATAAAAAATTCAGAAATTTTTAATGGATAATTATGCCCTCAGATTTACCGCTATTGAGGGAATATACACTTTAACAAGGTGAAAATGTGGCTACTCGAAATATTGGTTCTAGACCCCATGTTTCTTTGGACCAAATCCGTTTCAAAAAATTTACATTTCATCCAAACTTTGTCCATCTTATTATTTTTTCCAAACTTAGTTCAAATTCGAAAATGGGGAATATCGGTCCACTTATTCTGGAACCTCCATAGAGGGGCTAGGTCTAAATGCGGGTTATAGTTCATTATCGAACCTTACGTTCTACTTGTTTACCTCGATATCCTCCGCAGGTGAAATAATTACATCAGAGACTTAGAACCAAACTCAAAACGCGGAACAAATCAGATAACCATTTTAATATAAAAAGGGGGTTATATGGGGACCAACCCAAAATTGGGGCGAATATTAATAATTTTTGGTAGGGAGATTTGGTACCATATACGACTACAAAATACCAATTTGCAGCAAATTCGGTTGAAAAACGCGCTCAAGAACCCCAAAATATCGAAAATTTAGGTGTACCGTTATATGGGGGGTACCAGAAAAAATTGACCTATATTTATAATTTTTAGTGGGGAGATTTGCTACCCAATGAGAACTCAAAGTACCAAATTTCAGCGAATTCGTTTGAAAAACACGCTCAAAAACCCCAAAATACCGAAATTTGGGGGGTACCCTTATATAGGAGCTATGTCTTAACGTGGATCGATATAGCCCATCTTTAAACTTGACCTGCCTGACTCTGTGCAAAATTTTGAGGCTCTATCTCAATTCGTTTAGACGCTAGAGTGATAACAACAGACAGACAGACGGACATGGCTAAATCGTCATAGAATTTTACGCTGATCAAGAATATATATACTTTATAGGGTCGGAAATGATTATTTCGATGCGTTACAAACGGAAAAACAAAACTAATATACCCTCCATACTATGGTGGAGGGTATAAAAATTTTGAATAAAAATTACTGTGGATGTTTCGATTAAAGTAGTCATGGAAATTCGTACTTATGGGTACAAACGTTTTAAATTTTACATAAGAAAGAGATTTCGGAAATTAATGAAGAGTACTCATGGTAATAAACTTGATATTAGATGTAGGAATAGAGGTGGAATTCGGAATTATAGTACAACAAATTATACAGTATTCACGATTTCCATATAAAATATTATTTATTTGTTTTGTATTCCATTTCCGCTTATGAAGTAGCGGGCATTTCGCTATTATATATATATATATATATATATACCAGAACAGCAGTTCATCGATCACTCGATATCTCCCATGTTACGACACGTTTATACGTTTTGATACAACCTGATTCGAATCAAATATCAATTATTTAGGATTTAAAAAACAAACATATCACATTTAAAGTAGGTTTCCTAAAATTTGTATACTGTACCCTCTATGAAATATTTTTATCCATTTCCAAATTATTGTGCTCCCTAAATAATTAAAATTTCCATTGATATATATTTTTCACAAATATTCAGCTATAATTCACAGCTACTAACCGTTAAAATGTCATTGTTTGTCGAAATGTGCTACCACCCAATTATTCCCTCTTATATTGGTTTCAAACACCTGTCATACCGTGCACACACTTGTCACTTGGTGTCTGTCTGTTAGACGAACGCTGTATTTGCATATACACTTTAAATATAATTTTTACACATGAGCACACGCACACACATCCCTTGGTAATCAGTCACTCGGTCATTCCTATGCGTACATCTGCTAGGTGGTAAACATTCTGCATAAACAAAAAATAAATTGGAACGGGAGCGGACCAACATCCTCGTCCTACTACTCCCCGCCTTCTACTTTGTCACTCAAACATATCATTGAATGATGTGTACGGTGTTGAAATGATTGTTTTAAATGACTTTAATTTTTTATAACCATTTCGTTTTTTTTTTGTCGCCCACCCCTTATCATGTCAGCAGAGACCACCTTTGTGTTCGTACACTCCCCTGCACCAACCACCACGCCAAGCTCTCTAAACAGAACAGAACTCCTGTTTGTCTGAAATTTGTCTAATTGTAAATGATGGTGTAATGAAAACACTCATGCGTGTATTTTGTTGATTTGCCAGAAAAATTACAACAAAAGCAATGATAAAACATAGTACAAAAACAAAATAAATGATAATAATAAAAAATAAAAAAAACACAGACAATTACTATTATTAAATAAAAATGACATTTAAACATGAAACTTGACATTACAGGGTTGTTGCTGTCGTCGTCATCAACGTTCTCGTCGTCGTCGTTTTGGCTGCTTTAGGTACCTTTGTTTGCTCTTTGTCTGTTTGTCGTTTTCTGTTCTATTTGAACGTAAAGCACCTGCAAAAAGATATGTCACTATAAATGTCATTTGGATGTAACATATGGGCTATTTATTGCCATATACGAGGTAAGATACAATATTTTATTACCAAGAAAAATGACTTAAACTAGCATTTTTTAAAATGTCATTTCTAACGCATATACGATGGACTGTACTTATTCCAATTAAAAAATTTAAAACAAATATTTAATGGAAGGGAAACGGAATCCGTTAAATAGTCGTTATCTATAAACGTTGACCGGTATATCCTATATTCTAACAAAACGTGTCTGCAAACTCCATACATGTCTGTGTATGATGATTTACACACATCCGCCTGTCTGTCGGTATTTAAGATAGAGCTGTGAAAATTTGCACAGACATTATAAATACTCCTAGAATGGTATTGTATTGTAAATGGGTAATATCGCTCCACGTTTTTATACCCTTCACCACACTGTGGTACAGGGTATTATGTCTTTGTGCATATGTTTGTAACAGGCAAAAGGAAACGAGATAGACACATGGTTCCTTTTGAGAATATGCATAGAATCACTTTCTGAGTTGATTTTTGCATGTCCGCGTCCGTCTGTAGATGTTAAATTGTAAACAAAGTACAGGTCGCATTTATGATCCGATTTGGATGAAATTTGGCACAAGTCACTTATTTGGCCCATGGACGAACCCTATTGAAATTGGGAAAAATCGGTTCAGATTTAGATATAGCTCCCATATATATTTTCGTCCGATTTAATGTAAACGGTCCCTATATATGTTTCGACTTGCACGAAATTTGGCAATTTGAATTAGGTCTGGAATGATGTGTGTAAAATTTCATAAAAATCGGTTCAGATTTAGATATAGCTCCCATATATATTTTCGTCCGATTTAAGGTAAATGGGACACCAAAGTCCCTCTATATCTTTCGATTTGCATGAAATTTGGCATAGAGTACTGAATTAGGTGCAGAACGATGTGTGCCAAGTTTCGAGAAAATCGGTTCAGATTTAGATATAGCTCCCATATATAGGTTCGTCCGATTTAAGGTAAATGGGGCACCAAAGTCCTTCTATATCCTTCAATTTGCATGAAATTTGGCATAGAGTACTGAATTAGGTGCAGAATGGTGGGTGCCAAGTTTTGAGAAAATCGGTTCAGATTTAGATATAGCTCCCATATATAGTTTTTTCCGATTCTATGTAAATGGTGCACCAAAGTTCCTATATACCTTTCGATTTGCATGAAATTTTGCACAGCGTACTGAATTAGGTCCAGAATGAGTTTCTAGAAAATCGGTCAGATTTAGATATAGCTCCCATATATAGGTTTTTCCGATTCTATGTAAATGATGCACCAAAGTTCCTATATACCTTTCGAAATTTGGCACAGCGTACTGAATTAAGTCTTGAATGATGTGTGTTAAGTTTCAGAGAAATTGGTTCTGGTTTCGATATAGCTGCCACATATTCATATTGTTACGAATATAACTTTAGATTTAAGTTAATTTAGATTAATTCCGTTAATTTAAGAATTTGAATTGTAACGTAAATTTCTACTACGCAGTTTATTTGAATAACTTCACAACAACAACCACTGTATAGATTTTTCTACATCCTTCCATTTCCTCTTTCATTTTCTATTTTGTTATTGTCGTACAATTCTTGTTAAACGTCATTCCCCTTTCTTTGTTATTCCCTCGCCTGTATATGTGTTGTTGTTATTCCTCTTTCTTTGTTATTCCCTCGCCTGTATATGTGTTGTTGTTATTGTAAGTTTGTTTACTCAAGTTTGTTGTTGTTATTGTTACTCAATGTGTTTGTTGCATTGGTAGATTGTTCGTGATCTAGGTGTTACCAGATCGTCTAGAAACTTCTGTAGCGACAGGCAGGGCTCATATAAATAGAGGGAATGGAAAGGCAGTGAGTCAGTTGTGAATCAGATCGCGAATTGAAACCGTCGTGTAAAGTAAAGTGCAAAGTAAAGTTGTGTGAATAAAATCATTGTAATAATCGTAATCCGAAAGAACCTGCGTTTTTATTTGGTACGAATTGTATCGGGAAATAAAACAACGTCTACACGGGATTTAGTAAAACCCAAGAACGTAACAATATATATTCGTCCGATTTTACATAAATGGTGCACCAACCTTCTAATGTTTGTCCGATTAACACGATTTTTTGCACAACGTATCAAGTTGGAACTTGAATAACGTTATTGCGTTATGTTGAAATTGATATAGATGCCGTCATAGCTTCCATATGTATTTTGTATGGATGTCTAAATGAAATTAAAATTTTAACAGTGCGGCAAGCAAATAGCATGTAGTAATTTTGCTTTAAGTCGTTTTTCATAAATTTGTCCCATGGTACGAAGTCGACTTTAAATCCGCCCGAATGAAATTAAATTTATCATAGGTTGCAGAAATACTTGCGTATGTTCCTTGGAGGGGATACATATGTACAATATACCCAAAGTGGTGAAGGGTATCATATAGTCGGCCCAGCCCGACTTTACTGCTTTCCTTACTGGTTTTGTTTTGTGTAGCTCCCATATAACCGTACCTTCAATTATTCGGTATTTTGGGGATTTGGGACACGTTTTCCAACCGAAATATCTGCAAATAAATATATTGGGTATATATTGAATAACACATATTCGTATAAAAATTATTAATATTGACCCAAGTTTCAGGGTAGCCCAATTTAACGGTACCCCCCAAAATTCGGTATTTGGGACATGTTTTCCGACCGAACTGACTGTATTTGAGTTGTCATTGATCATGGTAAAGTACATATCCGTACCAAAAACTATAAATATTGGTTCAAGATTCAGAGTAACCCATATAACGGTACTCCCCAATACTCGGTATCTTGGAGAATTTAAACAGATTTTCTAACTGAATCGGTTGTAATTTAATCTGTTGGGTTCTCATTGGTATTTGTATTCTCATTGACTGCCAAATATAATTACCAACCAGTAACGAAAGTTCAAAAGTCGGGCGGGACCGACTATATTGTACCCTTCACCAAGAGATGTCAATATCTAGAATATCCTGTAGATAGAACAGACATAGAATCTTTGGAGGACGATTGAGATGGAATCGAGCGCAATTAAATGTGCTATGTAGATAGATTTAAACCAATTTAAAAACCCCATACACTTACCATTCTGAAATCAATGAAAACTTGCATGACAAGCTGACGGACTTGTATTTTTTGGTGTACCATTTGTATGAAATCGTGTAAAATTATGAATGGGTAATTGAGCAAACATTTGTTTTTTGTTATCACTCTAAATTCAATTTAATACCCTCTGCCAAATTTCGTGTAAATCGAGTCAACATAGGCCCTTCGGTGCACCATTTACATAAAATCGAATTAAAACCAGTAAGGAAAGTAGTAAAGTCGGACTGGGCCGACTATATGATACCCTTCACCATTTTAGGGATATTCTACATATGTATCCTAACAGACGTCGCCTTCTCTAAGGAACATTGACATGACATTGAACGGACTTAAAAATGCGATCTTTATCTATAAGTAAACCGACTAACATCAATTCCAACACACGCCATTCTGCAACCTATTCTAAATTTTGTAAATAGATTTAAAGAAACCTTTCCAC